AGAAAAGAAAATATCAGATAACCTTGTAAAAACATCAAAATGCATAATAAATCAGTAAATCATCATTTACTAATTTGTTATTGATCTTAGTTTCTTAGCTTTATATAATGGTTGGGAATAAGATAATAGTCTAGAAATATGTATTCATGCTTCTTTTATCATTTTACAAAATATCCTTGCATATTTCCACATATTTCATAATATTTCCGCAATGTCTCTAATTTTTACAATATTTCCCCATGACATTTCCTACATATGTCCTATATTTTGGTAAACGACATTTCCATCGACATCGACATTTTAAACCTTGGGCACAAGGTGGTGGCAAGTATTCATGGCAGCTTGGATAATGGATGGGATGCTGATGTATCATGTTGAGATACGTAGGCAATTCATGACCTTCTTCCTCAATTTCTCAGGTTTATTAGCTACAATATGTTATGGGAGTTGAGAGGATGTTTAGGTTGGTGACTTTGCTCTAAAGGACCTCTTCCCCTCCCTATACTCCATTTCTTTGTACAAAAAAGAGGTTGTCTTAAAATTTGTTACACCTCTTATACTCCTTTGGTGAAGAATTGGGATTTTGGGTTTCGAAGAGGGTTGAGGGATGAGATTTTGTGTTTGGGCTTTTTGCATTCTCTTGGTAATGCCTGTTTGGATCCCTTTAAACCAAATAGACGAGCATGGCATCCTCATCCCAGAGGGCTTTTTGTGCCTCCTTTTTAAAGTCCCTTTGATGATCTTCTAACCCTTAGGCTTTCCCTTCCAAAGAAGTTTGGTATAGGCTCCCCCCCCCCCCAAACCCAAATTGATGTGTTTTGCTAGGAAGTTTTCTATTGGAAAGTAAACACTTTGGACAACCTACAAAAGAGAAGACCCTTCCTATGTATTTCCCCGAATTGGTGTATACTCTACAAATCTAATGTAAAGGATTGTTACCAGTTACCACTTACTAATATTGTCCTTTTATTGTAGATATTCAGGATTAGTTTTTCCCCTAGTTTGGGTGCAGATGGAATTTGCCAACAAAGGTAAGTATGCTATTTAATTTATATCCCCTTGTTTGGCAGGAAAAGAGTAAGATTAATGTGGTGTATACGAGTAGCAATGATTCGGGTTATCTGGGAAGAAACAAATGCAAGAATATTCCAAGAAAAGGGGAAGCAGACAAGAAATCAAGGAGTGTGTGATGACCAGACAACACATTGGTTAAAAACCATGGACATTTTCCACCAATTTTCCTTTTGTGGTATTTGGAGGAATTAGTCTATGGTGGCACCACTCCCAAGTTCCAAAAAGGATAGAGTAAACTTAGTATGGATACCTCCTAAAGGATATGTGAAGCTGAATTTTAATGGGAGTAGTCAAGGTAACCTCATCTCACCTAGAATAGGAGGGCAATGTTATGGTTTTATTCGAGAGACCGGTGGGGAAAAGAGATTCTATTATGGCTGAATTGCTCATGCTGCAATACAGGAATCCAAATTGCAAATAAACTACATTTGGACAATTTATTGATTGTAGAAGATTTGAAGGTGGTAGTGGGATGGTTGAAGGATCCAAAGTCTATCACTTCATGCTATAGTAATGAAATCGAGAAATTCAAGTGGCTAACAGAATGAACATAAGAATACAATGGGTGGAGAGATCAAAAAAT